TCCGTTTTTCAATAGAAACATCATAGTAACAGTACTTAATAGTACAAATTGGCTTTTCATATCTGCCATACATACTATGAACTGATTAAAATAGGCGTGGATGAAACTAATCAGCGATTTCTTCGCTTATTGTCTGAACTGAATGTAAGTATGAACAGTAATTACAGCAAAGAGATCTTTCGCTCATCTCCAGTAATAGACTACGTATGAGCAAGGAAATAAGACCCTAAAGTTGCGTTCATTTTGTCGATCTATCAGATACTGTGAGTTTTCAGCAACGTTCAAGAACTGAGAAATATGAACTTGTAAGTTGTTGATATACTATCAACCAAGTTATGATAATTCCTTGAGAGAAACGAGAATCAACCATTAGTTCTGTCATAGTTTCGGCATTCATAAAAGCCAAAATGATGCTCTTTATGCAATAGTTTTTACACCTGCATGTTTATATTCAGAAATTCCTAAAAGATATGAATCTAAGAGCAAAATATATCAGGTGAATGTGTAGATATTGATGTTAGTTTCCTCTTCATCTACACCCACACCAACATTATCTATCAAAATTTTTGTTTGAATACGACGACCAATCTCAGTTAAATCTATTCAAATACACTATTGATTATATTCTTCAATGATTTCATTTGTATATAGCTGTTGGTCGTGAATAATCAACTAACTATTGACAATGATACTTCTGATGTAGTGTCAGACAGCTTGATAATCAGCCAAATATAATGTTTTGATGACTTTTCAGCAAAAAATGATTTATGAGTCATTCTAAGAAGAAATAGATTTCTTTTTCTTTAAGTTCTGCAGCACAGCCAATGTGCAAACATGTTTGCGTGTGTTGTTCGGCGTTTCTGAAGCAAAGTATTTTATCTTATCAAAGTTTTCATGAAGGTCTTGTGATTTATATGGTGGATATAAAAAGCTGAAAGGAAGAGTGCAAATAAGAAAAGGAGACAGTTAAAAAGAAATCAGAAAAAGGAAGAAAACATAACATTGATGTTTTAGTGCGGCAGAACTTTGCTCACAAGAACTCAGAAAGATACCACTACGGGTTTCAAGCAAGCAAAAGTTCACGCAGTTACTTCCAAAGACGTAAGACAATCGAATGACATTGAGTTTCCAGTGCTCGAAATGATTATTACTACGGCAGATGCATCTCAAATTCTGAAGACAGACGATGATATCATTGAAAAGTTTGTATCGAAACAATCAAACAGAGCAATCGAGGAGAAGACGTCACTGGATGAGGTTGGATCTGAACGCTCATACAAAGCAGATGAGGAACATTTTCCACTAGATGAAATCAGACCTGATCGATCGGCCGATGTAACAGAGGAACATAAGGTATTTGATGAGCCTCAATCTGAGCACTCTAACGAACTCGATGAATCGCTATCGAAACATATGATACGTGACGAGTCAGAATCTAAGCGGTCATACAAAGTAGATGAAGAGTACATGCAACTGAAAGTAGTATCTCCAGATGTTGATCTTACTCCAGTTGATGGAGAAGCTTTCACACCAACGATATGTCAACAGCGACAGGCTGCTATCAACAATATGTCCTATCGACGCACTATTGATCAATGGCAACCAGCGTCACTTGAACAGTTGATCGACTTTATTAAAAGTCTATCTGTAAACAAAAACGAAGTTGACAAAGCATGAATTATTTTTTATTGGATCTCTCAAAATATTCGATACGATACAAATGCTTACTTTAATAATAACATTGGTTCACAAGCATCCACCAATGTATTTCTTAGTCGTAAAGCAGTATGTGAAGCCTATTCAACCTTATATGCAGACTTATGCACTCGAATTGGACTCCAGTGTCATCATGTGAGTGGTTATGCAAAAGGATATGGGTTTAATCCTCGCCAAACAAACTTTGAAAAGACAGATCATGCATGGAATATTCTCTCGCTCAAGCATGGGCACTCTTACTTTATTGAATCGACTTGGGATTCAGGTTATTTGAACGCTTTAACACACCAATACAAAGCAAAACTAGCGCCTCACTATTTCTTCTGTCGACTTGAACATATGATATATGGACACTTGCCAGAAGATCCTCAATGGCAATTGCTCGAACATCCATTAACAATGAAACAATATCTCATGCTACCTCATATACACGGAACATTTTTTGAACTCAATCTAAATATTGTATCACCCGTCTATACGCACAAAATTACTCTTGAGCCAGGACAATCATATGGGGAAGTACTTATTGCAACATCGACTGATGGTGTTGGACTATCTGGATCGTTACGTGATAAATCGGATACGAAAATTGAAGGTGGTGATTTCGTGTACTTTGATCATGATCAAAATTTGTGGCGATGTCGTTTTGCTCCACAAAAAGTCGGTAATCACCCAATTTTAATATTTGGTGGTAAGAAAAGTAAGGCAAACAAATCGACTTTGAGTTGTGCTGTCGAATTCAACTTTGATATTGATCACCTTTCTACAGCAACCATTTCATATCCTATCACATCGTCACATTTTTTCAGTTATCATCTTCAAATTGTCAAGCCAATCAATACTTGTTATATTGATTGGTCATCAGACAAGAACTTTCCCTACTGTAAAATTCTAGTTCGTTCTCCTGATGATCTTCATCTTTTCGCAACGATGGCAGATACTATCTGCCAGATAGTATCACTGGTATGGATATAGAAAATGGAACATTGGTAAATTTTAATAGCCAAGAATCACTCTGGCAATACTTTTTTGCTCCAGCTGCTAGTGATGCGTCATATAAATTAACATTATTTGCGCGACATGTCAACGAAAATCAATCCCATTGTGTTGCGCAATTCTATTTGCAACGAATTGATAAATCCATGCTTCAAAAGTACAGTCGTCTTCCGTTTACCTACGGATCTTTTCACGAGGCAAAATGTCATTTGTATGAACCACTCGACGGAATACTAAAACGTGGATCAAAAATACGATTTCACTGTCGAATTCCTGATGCTCATGAGATGAATATTACAGTCGATGGGCAATGGTTGTGAGGTGATTCAGCATCATACATGAACGAGAATTATATATTCCAACGTAAAATCCAATTGAGACAGAAGGATGGCTGTATGGGTGGAATTCAACAAGCAAAAGTCGAGCTATACAGGACTATTAAAGTATTCGGTTAAATAATGTAAACAAATGATAATATTTCCTAATAAATTTCGTACTTTCAAAAGATCTTCACTCAACCATTAAGCAGCCTCACATGCCACACATCCGTTGTAGACCGGATCAAACAATCATTCGATTAATGAAATTCTCGCCAAACATAAAACTCTCACTCAGATTTCCGTGTTGATCGAAAGACAAACGATCACTATCGTTTTCAAATTTTTTCCTACGTATTGAAATTCTACTGTTCAAAGGACATGAACACGAGTATTGCTGCTATTAGATATTAACATAGTTTCAAGATCAACTTGTTGCGCAAGACCGAGAAAAGGAAAGATAGTTCTCATGCGAAATGCAACCGACTAGTTCGACAAATTCAACTTTTCATATATGAAAGAAGAACATCAAAGGAATACTGTTGTCTTTTTGCGATGAGCAACACTTTGAAATAAGAGGTTTCAATAAAAATGTTCTATAATACGATTGAAATGTGAGTCATTTCATGCTACGGTAGAGAAAATAAAAAGAGAATCAAATATGTGTGAATTGCTAGTTAATCTTACGAGAATTGAAATATTGTGATGTAAAAAAAGGAATTAACTCGTCATTAACACTTTGCACAGTATATATATATATAGAACTTTGATATGAGTGTTTTATTTTTTCAAAATGAGAAGTCATATTCATTCTTATCCATTTAATATCCTATATGTTTTTTAATGAACTGAAAACCAATTCGAAGCTGGTCTATTTGTTGTATATAAACTAATACATCTGTAAGTCGTAATATTCTCATTAAAAAGATGTCTAGATTAAAGATAAATTTTATTTTAAATTGAAAAATATTTTCAAATAAAGAAAGTCCTTTTAAGTTCTCTTACAAAGTAATGAAACACATCTAAATCCTTGGATTTATCGATTTAATGCCATCTTCTTCAATATCAAATTGCCATTCCTTCTCATGTATTTCTACTAAACCTTGATATGGCCATTTCAATTCCAGAGTTTTTCCATCTATAGTCTCAGCCTGAATTTTATAGATATTCTTATCAATGATGAGATGTGCATCGAGATAGGCACGTGTTTCAGCAAAGTAATGACCACCGTTTGGCTCCAATTGATTCATACGTATAATTTCATGTTCATGATGTTGATTTTCACCGCAGTAGAAAATTTTCAGATTGATCGGGTGAGATGTACGATTGTAGATATGAGCTGAATGGACATAGTATTTTTGTTTTAACGGCATATTATGTAGAGAAATATTGTATATGTATTTTTGTGTAATTGACTATAGAAGAAGCGAAAGAAGATATGATAGTTGTCTAGTGCGTAGAAAACGATATTTGTATGTACAACAGTTGCAGGAAAAGAAAAGAAAAGAAAAGTGCTATTTTGTACACTGCCGAGAAAGAGACAAAAAAAGAACCTTTCTTACGTTCTGTGATATTATATATATATATATATATGAGATGAAAGAGAAGTGGTTTTTACGCTGATAACGAGAAAGACAAGAGTATTAGTGGACATGTTGAAGATGAATTCGAACTTTGTTATTGACAAGTACAAAGTTGTCCTGTAGGAAATGTTTTTTCCAACAATTCATGTGGTTCATAACAGATTGAACGAAACCTTTAGGAATACCTACATAGACCTTGCATTGACAAAAAGTACACACTATCCTTTTCAAACTATCTATTGACGGAAACGTACGCTTACTAAAGCCAAAGAAGTTGCAATCAATAAAATTAGTTTGAATTTGTCAACGAATACCTACTTGAGTCACTTTACCTTCGTACATCGTTTTATGCATTTGAAGTACAACTGAATATTTTCGTGATATCTTTAAAAGGACTTGATAACTGATTTGAATTTGAGAAAATATTGTTTATGTAGCAGAGTAGACAAATGACGACTTACTTGTTAACACTGAAATCTATGTAGAAAACATTTTGTCAATATGTGACTTCTATGATTTTAGATCTAGTTCAAAAAAATCCTGCTAACTCAGAGCCATCGTTCAGCTCTCTAATATTCTATAACATGTGATCATTTTCGAACATAGCAAAGCGCAAGCTTATGATGAAAAAGCGTGTAGAAATTATCAATGATGACTCTCGACGAAAATTAATATTGAAATTGATAGAAACCAGATAGGTGGTGCAATAAGAAAGTCACAGAACGGTGTTGACCACACACGTTGACATGTACAACAGAAGTTTTCTTTTTGCCGAGATATCTTTAAAAAATTAATAATATTTAAAACGACTCTTTATTGTTTTAATAAATATTGAACAATAATAAGGCAACAAATACTGAAGAAAAATCTTACTATTAAAGACAATGAGATGCGTGATAGATGTCAAACTAAAGATGTTAGTGCAAAACTGCCGTATCATTCTGACCTCAATTATACTACGTATTAGTTAACTAATTACGAGACAACCATTGCACTTGAAGATGAACGATAAGCATAAAATATACTTTTAACTAGGTAAAATATGAACATGATTAGAACTTAGTCTATTACATAATTTATCTAACATGTGATCAGCGTTTTTAAAAAATCTACTATTTCTCGATTTTCTTTGTATTTTCAACTGAATATCATCTCTGAACTCAATTTAAATTGAAACAACTCTATTACGTATACGATTAATTTCATGAATAGAATAAATGCTGTATCGATAGTCATTCATTGATTATCATAAGACTATAAAGACACAAATCATTTCCACAGGTCATACAAGATTATTATTCTCATTTACGAAATAATTGCCTAGTAAAGTTAACATCAAAATGTTTATTTACCAGAAAATACATAAATTAGCACAGGATTGTGACATTCCTTTCGAGATTTTCCAAAAATGAAGACCTATTACTATATTGATACTTTAACAGACGAATTGTATAAGTTTGATAGTGTCCAAATCGAGCATCTTCTTTTTGAAGAACTTTTTCCACTGCAGTGTCCTGGTATTTCTTCATTGATAACATTGAAAATTAAATAACCACCAGCTATTCGCAGTTTCTCAGTCAAAAATTCTTGAGTCAATATCTTATAATGAGGGTGTGAGTGTCAAGGTGTGGATGTGTGTGGGTGTATGTGCTGATCTAATCTCACCCACACCCTTATTCATTAGACGATCAGATTGTGTACTGGAGTTTGCATATAGAAGAAAATCTTTTTTGTACCTGATGAAGAATAACGAACATAGGAAAGATTAATGAAGCATCATCTGTTTATCCTTTATAATCGATAACGTAGATGATATTTTATCATCAGCAAATGTTATTGGAAATGATGGAAAAGATGGACAGGAAGTTGTTGTATTCGTAGCATGACTTGAGGGATGAAGTGAATTTTCATTTGAACTTTGACGAAAGGTGCTGTCGTTAAAGTATTGGTTGGATGATTGACCCTTCTGTATTCGATTTCAAACAAGTCATCACGTTTTATTCTTTTATCATATATTATGACTTGGTTGTTGTTGGTGTGCTATTTCTGCATCAGTTTTACTGATGGAAGTTTGCTTGTAATCACTATTAGTGGCACTAATTTGATCAGGCTTATTGCCCCTGAAATTCATCATTAGTATTATTAATTAGGATGAATCACTGTCGCGTGGAATACAAACCAATATATTATATCATCAGTTTGCTATTTTTAAAGAATGAATCACATCTCTGAACAAAATTTATCATCAATCATAACACACTAGGCAATGCCAGCGAACTTAAACAAGATTTGAAGAACCTTGCTCTGCGTTTCATACGAGAATTAATTAATTTAGTAAATAATAACGAAGGAAAAACAACGAAAATAAACCGAAATCCAGGCTACGAGCGTCTGGTATAAATCGAAGAATTCTTTTGAAAGTTACACTAATGCGATAAGAGAGTAAAGAAACATGTTTTGATCACAAATACCTAAAAATATTATTTTGCAATATTACAAGCAAAAGTGCAAGTTAGTTTCGCATTTAAGTTGCTAGAAGGACGACACTAATGAGTTTTTCATGTTTTTATTCTTTCGTTTTTATTTATTTCAAATAAAGTCTCGTCGAGATTCTGCTATAGAGTAGAAGTATACAATCACTTTTTGTCAGTGTATCTTATTGTTCAGATCTATTTTTGAATAGACCAGACAATATGATTATTATTATTATATTCATTGTGAGAGATCCGTCAAAGTACTCATTTCTCATCATCAACCATGTTTAAGACTTTCAATGTAGTATCAACAAAAATTAAACGAATATTATCAAAGACATTTTTGATCAGCTTTTTTCTGTTGAAAACAAAACTTTATTTTAATCATGTATGTAGTAAAAAGTGCTTTTTTTTTCTATAAATTATCTTCTTGCTCCTACCTACTACTAAAATAAAAACATATGATTGGTAGTTTTCATACTACTTTACACAACAACCCATGTAAATAACAAAACGTACAACAGATGAGTTCAAACAGGTTCAGACACGTTTCTTATCTTCATCAGAGATGGGCACAGAACAGAACAGATTATTAAGCAGAACTTGAATAAATCTTATTTTGACTTTCGTTCACCAACTTACATATAGTTTGTCAGTTGTCTTAGATATAATTTATTTCGTATCATTTTCAAAATATAATAAGTAAAATTTTCAATATTGACTAATAATATAAATACAAGAAAACATAGAGACATCTGGATTTATTATTTTAACTTTTCTTAGCCAAATATTGCTGCTTTCGTTCGCAATGGTCAAAGTAATGTACTATATCATATTTTCATGGGAGCATATATCTATCATAGGGAAAAGAATATTCCTCTTCCCATTAACGGGAAGATATCCGGTGTACTTGAATCGGGCGAGGTATGAATCTTCCAAGCAGCTTCTACTTCTTTTGCATCAACTTTTTTTCTGGCAAAATTGAAGTATTCTAGTTTTGTAGCGCTCGTCGATTTGTGCAAAAATTGATGTGATTTTCATTCGATTTATAGGTGAGTCACAACAGAGCGGGATCAAAAGTCTATTTTATTCAAAACTATCCATGAATTCTGTCGGTTTTATTCTTTATGAATGTTCGTTCGAAATTTCGATTTAACGGTTAGATAGAGTCTAAGACCTCGTCTATGCAAGATAATTTTCAGAACTGCGTAGGTCTCTAGAACTCATTCATTGGTGAGATTTTCAACTTGGGGAAAAATGATAAATGATAATAAAATTGAACTACCTGTACAATTTTGTCCATTCATTTGAAAAACGTAAACATATTATAATCAAAATAACCGTTATACTATGCTTATTCAAACGCCATGTGGGATGTAGGTATAGGTGTTAGTATGGGTACAGTTAGGTTTCGAAGCTAACTTTCAATAAAATCGACTTGCGAGCCTGCTTTACTGAAGTCTGTCTATCAATCGAATAAAAACCAAATATCAATATCTATACGACCTGATGAAAGCTAAAAGACTAGGATACTTAAATCTTATCAGGGAAAACTCAAGAATAAATTGATTGTGTATTAAAATAAATTCACCCTACGAAGTTAAAATTCAGTTATATCTTAGTTTGGAATGAGAAAAATTTTGGACCACAATAAGTTTCTGATATATATGCATGACTTTTGATTATTAGTTCGCATGTTAAAGTATGACTATCATTACTTAAGGTGATTATTCAATGCATCTACCGGGATAGATTAAACATTATCGTAACATGATGTAAATGTCGATTGATTTCGAATCTTAGATGGATTCAGTTTTAATTTAAAAATTTGCTTTGGCACGTATAAAGTAGCTTCTAGAATCGAAAACATTTCATTTGAGCTATTTCTGGACACTTCCATTCCCCACGTTTCGAGGACACATCTACCACGATTCAGACATATTTTAACTACAAAAGTATTTGTATGAAAATAAGATTAATCTCTTATAGAGAAATTATAAAAAACAACCTTTTCTTCGTTGATTTAGTACTTGTTTCCTTTTTGAGATTTATTTATTCTGGATCGATTTATTCCAAGAATAGTCTTGAGCATAAACTAGTAAATTCTACAGTATAGGGTGTGTGGTGTGGGTGTGGGTGCAGGCGTGGGTGTAGGTGCGGGTGTGGGTGTAGGTGCGAGTGTGGGTGGGTGTGGATGAGTGAGGGTGTGGGATGTGGGTGTTGCTGTGGGTAGGTGTCGGTGTGGATGTGGATGTGGATAGGGTGTGGGTGTGGGTGTGTGGTTTTGGATCTTCTATTCTTCAACACTCACACCCATACCCCCACACCCACCCATAGCCACACCCACAGCCCATGCCCACACACACCCACACATCCACACCCACACCCATAGCCACACCCACACCTACACCCCACCCACACCCACATCCACACTCACACCCATACACCCACACCGACCCCCCACACCCTTATTTCAGATGTGATGATTTTAAACTAAAACTAAGTGTTTTAGTCTCTTCAGAATAGACCTCTTGTTTGAGTTCGAATTTGAAAAGAATCTGAGTAATTTGAACAAGATGTCTTCATATCTGGTAGAAGCGAGCTGTTCACTATCTTTGCTGATTGTTGATAAGGATCATATATTCTAATCCAGCACTGGTGAAAATGAAAATGTAAACTCGGGATGTGGATGAGAACGAGAAGGACACATCATCCACACCCTTTGTATCATTGATGAGATCAATACATCGACACCCACACTCACGAAGTCCGAATGATCCTGATTGTAGTTAAAAAACTTTGTAATGGTAAATTTTCTTTTCTTTTAGATAAAAGTGACACGTGTTGTCAGTATACTTTCCTTGTGCAAATACATTATTCGTCATATTCGGCAAAAGCGTTTTTTTTTCTGCTGTTCGAAGGTTGTAAGACTATTTATTCTTGATGAAAGCAAACATATTTTGGAAGTTGTCGCATAACTAGTAATATGAAGAGACTGATGATAGAAGAGAAAAGAAAAATTGTAAAACAATCGCACTACTGTGAAGGAGTAAAAATATTACTTCGCCATTACTTGTGAGTGAATTAGAGTTATTTTTATAATTCGAACTTACGTGTGTTGCAACAAATTGCAATTCTTTCACTTTACCTATTCATGACTGATTCAATGTCGCAACCAATCTTTAGCCATGAAGAGAACAAGGAGAACACTACGCTCCTGTGGTTCGACCCAAAAATTGGTTCTCATACTGATACTATGGTCACCATGCAACGACTCCGTGAGATCAACAACTATGTCGCTTTCCACACCGAGCTTCAATCATGTCTCACATCCATTCAGTCCAGTCAACAAGAAAAGATCTTCCTAATCACTTCCGGCTCTCGTGCCTGTGAGCTGCTGCCATTAGTGGCTCACCTTCGTCAAATAGACTCCATATTTATTTACTGCTTCAGAAAATCTAAATATGAACATCTCACTGCACAATACTCAAAGATCATCGGTATTTATGACAGTCTCGATCCCTTATGTGTCTCAATCCGAGATCAAATTGATGTTGTCGATAAACAACTGCAAACATTCAGCTTTTTTAATCAACATCAGAAGGCTATTAAAGATCTCTCGAAAGAAGCAGCAGAGTTCTTGTGGTTTCAGCTGTTCAATGATGTCATTTTGCGTCTTCCTCGCAGTCAGCAAGCTAAACAACAGATGCTCACTATGTGTCGCCGATATTATCGAGACATTGGAAAACAATTGAAACTCATCGATGAATTCGAGCGCGACTATCAACCAGAAGATGCCATTCGATGGTACTCGAAACAATCTTTCGTCTACCAGCTAGTGAATAAGGCACTAAGAAGTGAAGACATTGATCAGCTGTATATATTTAGATTTTTCATCGGTGATCTTTCGGAGAGTCTAGCACGTGAACATCAAAAGATGATTCAATTGGGTAAGCAATTTATGGTTGTCTATCGCGGAGCAAAATTATCAAATATTGAACTTGATCAATTCAAAAACAAACAAGGTCAATTGATCTCGACCAATGGATTTTTATCGACCAGTCGAAGTCTTTCTCGAGCACTGAGTTTCGCCATGAAATCTACAAAACGAAGTGACGCAGTGCCTGTTCTCTTTAATATCAAGTGTCATGTGCAAGAGCTAGGCAACAATGTCATATTCGCCGATATTTCTCATCTGAGTGTATATCCTGAAGAAGAAGAAGTCCTGTTCGATTTGAGTGCAGCTTTTCAAGTTCAAAATGTGAAACATGATGGGAAAGTATGGGTGATCGAAATGACTGCAACAAGTGAAGGACAAGTGATTATTCAAGACTATCTCGAGGCGACACGTCGTGAAACGGAAGAGCGAAGTGTTGGAATCATGTTTGGTAGACTGATGTGTAACATGGGTCAATATGAGAAATCTCAACGATACTTTGAACAGCTAGTAATCAATTCGAAAGATGAAGATCAGGCATGGGTCGAATTTAATATAGGTCGAGCGCTTCACTTCAAGGGAGAATGGAAAAAAGCACGAAAATATTATGATAACGCATACCACCGAATGATGAATGCCGATCCACCTCGGATAAAAGATTCAGCTTATGTACTCAACAATATTGGTGCTGTGCTGAAAAGTGAAGGAAAATACGGTGAAGCTCTTGATTTCTATCAACGAGCACTGATTATACGAGAGAAATATTACCCCACTGGTCATCTTGACACTTCTGCAAGCATTAACAACATTGGTCGTGTGTTCGAAGCTCAAGGAAAGTATGATGAAGCACTTGATTTTTACCAACGAGCGCTAATCATACAAGAAAAATACTATCCGAATGGTCACCCAGATATTGCTTACAGTCTCAACAACATAGGTAATGTACTGAGCAATCAAGGGAAATACAAAGAAGCACTTGATTTTCATCGACGAGCCCAAGTCATACAAGAGAAATATTTTCCTCCTGATCATTCTCATATTGCTACAAGCCTCTACAATATTGGTGGTGTACTGCACAGACAAGCAAAATACGCCGAAGCTCTTGATTTCTATCGAAGAGCGCTGGTCATACGAGAAAAGCACTATCCTGCTGGTCATCCGGACACTGCTTCATGCCTGAATAATATTGGGCGTTTGTTTAGCGATCAAGGAAAATATGATGATGCCATCGATATCTATCATAAAGCACTGACTATACTTCAGAAGTATTATCTCGCTGGTCATCCTGATATTGCTCTCAGTCTCAACAATATTGGTCATGTACTGCATAATCAGGGAAAGTTCCATGAAGCACTCGATAGCTATCGACGAGCACTGAATATGCTCGAAAAATATTATTCCATTGAGCATATTGATATTGCTTCTACTCTTAACAGCATGGCTGCTGTCTACGAAAGTTGTAACCAACCCAAGAGAGCACTTGATTGTTATCAGCGATCTTTCGCAATATACCAGAAACTTCTACCTGACAGTGATATAAATCGTAGAAGGATCGAAAAAAATATTCGTCGGCTCTCGTAGAAGCAGTGAAAAAAGACAGATGTAGAACATCTTATATCCCGATTACATTATTGTCTGAAACGATTCACCGCATCATATGGTATGAGGTATTTTATAGTGTAGTTCACTTATGTTTGATTTTTTTATTGTTTCCTATCTACATCCATCGTACTTTTTTGTCTTATCTAGTTCATCAATATATATTTAATGCTGGCTTGAATAATAAAAAAATTTTCATTATCAATCAGTTTGATCGTAACTTCCGATAACAGGACATACATCTTCGGGACCAATACAACCACACCTACATCAAATGATTTTTCTAATTGAGATCCGATGTGTAGA